CATCTCTACAAAAAATCACTTGAATCTGATATCATTTGACCATTCAATTGAGTTATTGAAATTTTAGTACTTTCTTGAAGCACCGTGTTCATTGATTTTGTAGAACACAATTGAATGTCGAAACGGTTTCCGATTTGTCTAATTTTTTGTAAGGATGATCTATGAATGAAAACCTAAAAAATCAATGATTTGGATCATTGGAAAAAAAATTGTAGGGTACCTTAAAAGGCGTCCCTCAAATAAAATTATTTAAGGGATCCCTCAATATATATATATAAAAAAGTAAGTAAAACCTTGGGTCTTTGACTAGTAGAGTTTAGTCGTTAACCGCGGTTAGGAGTTAACGACTACCTTGCCTTGATTTTAGAGCAAATCTGAAAAGCGAACACTTAACTCCACTCGGGCGACTTTCAATTTATCGCGGGACACGGAAATCAATAATAATAGTTTGAAACTTTGAAGCTTCATCTTCTAATCTAATATAAATAAGACCCTGTTTGATTGCTCAGAATAGAATTAAATAAATAATAATTTATTGGTGCGCAAAGAATAATAAGAGGAAATTAAAAAAGTATAGCTTCCTTAAACATCTTTGTTGTTTTGCTGGCTTCTCAAGATACACTTTCTTCAGATCCGAAGAAAAAGCTAAGAAATCAAAATTCATATTCAAAATTTAATTTCCTAAATAAATAAAATATTACTAACTAATTGTTCACTTGCTAGTACAAATGCTTTGTGTCGATAAATATGTTAAAATAGTGGATACGATTCATCCGAATTATATACGTGTACTGTATTAATATCTAAATAAATGGTAAACTCAAGACCGACTACATAAGGAGAATTGTTTAAACCAAAGTAAATTTTTCGGTCTAATCTTGTGTTTATAACATGTGAATATTCATTAAGACTAAACTTATTCTACTCGAGGTCGACTACATGCAAAGTATTGTCTTGAACAAGTAATTTGTCGGTAACTTAGTCGTGTTATTACACATGAATATTCAGCAACGTAAAAACATATTATCGTCTACTTATATTATAACGCTGTAATAGAATATTTATTCCACAAGACACATCCACTAATATTTCATTAAAACTTAATATGCAAAATATTTTTTATCGAAATACTAATCGTGGTAAATGCGTTTGACACAAACAGTGACACTGACTACCACTGCCTGCTTTGATATTTGCAGTAAAAATTGAATCTCTCTCTCTCTCTCTCTCTCTCTCTCTCTCTTTATATATATATATATATATGAATGTATTTATTTTAATTTTGGTGTTATTTGCTGAGTGTGCTTTTGGACTCTTGCATGATCCAGAAAGGTGCTCTGCTCTCTGTGTCTATGGCTTTTTATCTTCTTCTGTGTTGGCCAAACAGTCGTTGATGATTGAAGTCCTTGAAGCGAAGAAGACAACGAAGATTCTGAGAGATATTCAACGCCGACGACTCGTCTTTTTTTTTTTTTTTTTTCTTCCGTCGGAGATTTTTCTGCTGTGAATTCGCCGGAGACTTTGGAGGAGCTGCAAGCTCTCGTTTTCCAATTACGTGGATAGCAGAGATTGATTTTCTCGCTGTAGATCTTGAGTTTTGTTCAAAGTAAGACGCAGAGATTGAGGCTTGAGGGCTCAGTGGATTGGAATTTCGAACAGAGCAGAGTGTTTGTTCAGTTTTTGAGTCTCAGTTTTATTTTCATCTTTTTTTTTTGTCATAAAAAAGTTGGTGGCTTTGGAGTGGTTCAGTGAAAGGGTTTGGAGATTGTGAATTCAGTCTTCTGTTAAAGTTGGGTGGGAGATGAAGCAGCTTGGAATTCTGTGTATTTCTTAGGGTTGGCGTGGCAGGGCAATTGACCCTCTGAATTGAGAAAACAAAACATGGATTTGAACTTTCAAGTTCAAGTTTGGTTGTTGGGAAAATTAGATACTGCTGTGGGGCTGTGAAGATTTTCTGGTGAAAACGTGGCGAGGAGCTTTCTTTTTCGGCTCTGCTTTTGATTCATGTATGCTTTTGTAAGGTAAGAAATTTATGAAATGCACTTCATTAATTGGATTGGTTGTTTTTTTATTTTTCTAGGGTTTGATTGAATTCTGTGAGTAATTTTGCCTAATTTGGCTTGGTTGATGTGGTTTGCAGCATTTACTGAGAGGCAAGAAGAAGAGGGATTTTTGAAATTTTTTTTTCTTCTTTTAAAGAGGATTGATATGATTACGTTTATGGATTCAAAAGAGAAATTGGAGGAAGGGGAGAAGTGCTTAGATCCACAGCTATGGCATGCCTGTGCTGGAGGCATGGTTCAAATGCCTCCAGTGAATGCCAAGGTCTTCTACTTCCCTCAGGGCCATGCTGAGCATGCCTGTGGACCTGTTGATTTCAGGAACTGCCCGAGGGTTCCTCCGTACATCTTCTGCAGGGTCTCTGCTATTAAGTTCATGGCTGATCCTGAGACTGATGAGGTTTATGCAAAAATTAGGTTGGTTCCTTCGAGTGCTAGTGAGGCTGGTTATGAGGATGATGGAATTGGAGGGCTTAATGGTTCTGAAACACCGGATAAACCCGCCTCATTTGCGAAGACGCTGACGCAATCCGATGCAAACAATGGCGGCGGCTTCTCTGTCCCGAGATATTGTGCAGAAACCATCTTCCCGCGATTGGATTACTCTGCAGATCCCCCTGTTCAGACAATCCTGGCTAAGGATGTTCATGGTGAAACTTGGAAGTTTAGGCACATTTACAGGGGGACCCCTAGGAGGCATCTGTTGACCACAGGGTGGAGTACTTTTGTGAACCATAAGAAGCTTGTTGCAGGGGATTCAATTGTGTTTTTGAGGGCAGAGAATGGTGATCTTTGTGTCGGAATTCGTCGAGCAAAGAGGGGAATTGGAGGTGGACCTGAGTCATCTTCAGGGTGGAATCCAACGGGTGGGAATTGTACCATGCCATATGGTGGATACTCTGCGTTTTTGAGGGACGATGAGAACAAGCTAATGAGAAATGGCAATGGGAATGGCTCGAATTCGAATGGAAGTCTAATGGGTAAGGGGAAAGTCAGGCCTGAATCGGTTTTTGAAGCCGCAACACTTGCTTCAAATGGACAGCCCTTTGAGGTTGTTTACTACCCTCGAGCAAGTACCCCAGAGTTCTGTGTGAAAGCCTCATTGGTAAAAGCAGCATTGCAGATCCGGTGGTGTCCCGGAATGAGATTCAAGATGGCTTTTGAAACTGAGGATTCTTCCCGGATAAGTTGGTTCATGGGAACTATATCCTCTGTTCAGTTGGCTGAGCCTTTGCGCTGGCCTGAGTCACCTTGGAGGCTTCTCCAGGTACCACTCTCTCTCTCCCTCTCTCTGTCTGATAACAGAATGTGCTCTGTAATTACGGTTCTCTAAGTTCTTGTGGTCATTTTTATTTTAGTTTTTTTTTATAATCAATTTCTTCACTACTTGTCCTCATTTTCTTCCATCTAAGGTAATGAGCACAAACTCTTTTCCATCGGAATGGAGAAAACTGATCCCCAGACTGTGCCGCGGAACATTGGCTCATCAATCTTCATTTAATGTCCAATTTCGCTCTCTTTTCCTTACTCCTTTCAGTTCACTTTGCCTTATGGCTCCTCTGTTATAGTTTAATCTGTTTTCCGACGAGCTTATTAGCTTTTAGGTGCTTGTCCATACCAAATACCTAGTCTAAATCAAGTGTTTTTTTCCCCTCCTCACAGAGTGCATTTGACTTTGCACATTATGCTGTTCAAGTTTGATGAACAATTGCATCTAGGAAGAGCCATGATTTTTAGCCATTGAATTCAATTCCTTCGGTTCTCTGAATTCATATGTTGCAGGTTACCTGGGATGAACCTGATTTACTTCAAAATGTGAAGCGTGTTAGCCCATGGTTGGTAGAATTGGTATCAAATATGCCCGCCATCCATCTGACACCCTTCTCACCACCAAGGAAGAAGATGAGACTGCCTCAACACCCTGATTTCCCATTTGAAGGCCAACTTCCTATGCCGACATTCTCCGGCAACCTCCTTGGACCCAGCAGCCCCTTTGGTTGTCTGCCCGACAAAACTCCTGCTGGCATGCAGGGAGCCAGGCATGGTCATTATGGTCTATCCTTATCAGATATGCACCTCAATAAACTGCAGACAGGTCTATTTCCGGCTAGTTTCACGCCTCTTGATCATGCTGCTACAGCAACTAAATTCTCCAATAACACAATGACTCAAAAACCTACCATGAGCGAGAATGTTTCTTGTTTGTTGACGATGGCACATTCTACCCAGACTTCAAAGAAACCTGATGATGTAAAGCCACCGCAGCTCGTACTCTTTGGTAAACCAATACTTACTGAGCAGCAGATTTCTCTGAGCTGCTCTGGTGATACAGTCTCACCAGTTCTTACTGGAAATAGTTCATCGGATGGGAATGCAGAGAAAACCACTAATCTTTCTGATAATTCTGGATCTGCACTTCACCAACAAAGCCTACAAGAGCGCTCATATTGTGAAGGTTTCCAATGGTATAAGGTTACTCGGCAAGAAACTGAATCGAGTTTGGAAACTGGTCACTGTAAAGTCTTCATGGAATCAGAAGATGTAGGTCGCACTCTTGACCTTTCAGTGTTTGGATCTTACGATGAATTGTATAGGAAACTGGCCGACATGTTTGGCATAGAAAATTCTGAGACGCTGAACCATGTGCTCTATCGAGATGCTACTGGTGCAGTCAAACACATCGGAGATGAACCACTCAGGTATGAATCAATTCCCACTGAATTGTGTAATGGGTCTGTAGAATGGAGGTTTTTATCCTTGTACTTAATGAAAGGTTTTCGAGGTAATATGTTGATCAATTTTTTGTTGAAGTTGCAGTGACTTCATGAAAACAGCAAGGAGATTGACGATTCTAATGGATTCAGGCAGCAACAATGTAGGAATGTAAAGAAAGAATAAAACCTTGATTCAATTGTACAGCTGGTTGATAAAATCCTTTGTTTCCATGCTGACCATTTACCCTTCCTGAAGTTCTGGGAGAAGCCGCCCTGATTCAATTTTTGAGCTTCCAATCTAAATCCTTCCGGCTTCCTAATTTTTTTTTTTAATCTTTGTCGAAGAAAGAATGTTTACATTTTTAGAACTTGATAACAGTATCATAATTTGATCAGGTTTTTTTTCTTCTTCTGTTCTTTGAGGTTTCTCCCTTTTTTGTAATTTTTTGGCAGCCAAGTCCTACAAGTATTAGTAGTTTTGTAGGAGTTGGCATATGTACTTAAAACTCTTTTGATAATGGCTGAAGCCTTCTAAGAAGGCCTTTTTTTTTTTTTTTTTTAGTGGAACATGTACATTAGGCTCCCATGAGTGAGTTTGGCTTATTTGTTGTTTTCTATATGTAGTTAGAACACAATCTCTTTTTTTCTTGAAGAAGAAGAAGAAACAGGGCTAACATCCGACAGAAAAACTAAACAATAGCCAGAGGCTTACACACTCCAAGTAAATCTTCATTAAAAAAAGACCTAATACTCCAAGTAGTTAGAACACCATCAAGGAAGTATTTCTCGCTAACGTTAACAATTGTCAGAAAGACTGGGCTAATTAAGTATTCTTAAAATCTGTTATCTTCCCTTATTGTGAATCAAAAATCAAGATGCTGCCTCTTTTTCTTTGTGTGTTTTTGTTTCTTTCTTGCATGAGTTTTTGAAACTTCATGCCATTCAACCAATGAGAAAAGGATCCCAAACTTTCTTCTCAAACAACAAAAGGCACAAGGATTAAATTAGTTCCGTGCATGACCAAGAAAAAAGAGTTGGTTAAAGGTCTAATCAGTTTTCACCATCAAAGTTTTCAAGATAAGTTGACTTAATCCTCCCCTTAATCTCATGGTTTGTTAAATAGAATCAGATGTTTTACACGACAGCAGATTTTCAGGGATTTTAATCAAGAACACCCAACAACTACTACAAGACTGCCACGTGGATTTGAAGACAACCAAAGCTTTGTGTTTCTCTCAGCTGAAAGTTGTAAACCAAACCGAAGCAATTCAAAGTAAAATTAATTATTTAATTAATTGTCCCAATCTTAACGCCACAAAGTGTGGGATACTTATAGTAATTAATTACTCATTAATTATTAAACCACCAACCAATATGTGAGTAAAATAAATAAATAAATATTGTTATTTTTTAAAATTATTTATGGGGATTGTAAAACAAAAAATTGTCAAAGACAAAGTCAATAACTAATACGTGGGGAAAAACAAAAGAAGCAGCCAAGGAGCTGGAAAGCAGAAACGAACAAACAAAAACACATTCTGTCTGTTCAACTTAATCAGCCGCACGTGAGAACTCCGCGGGTCCCACGCGGCGTCCATTTAATTTAATTTAATTTAGTAATATGGTTCACGTGTGGGCAACGTCAGCTCGGAAAAGGAGAGAGACTTTTTGCTTGTTTTGCGCCGTTTCGTTGACCGCGCTGTTTTCCTTTGTTTTCTCAATTTTTGTTTTCCTTTTTAACATTTTTACTTCCTGTATTAATTAATAGGTGAGAGACGAGACGGTAATATCACGTGGCATAGTATGTGGGTAAGACAACTTCTTCACGCAACATGTCAACATGAAATGAAGTTTATTCAAATTGCAATTTAAGTGAATTTGTAACATTATATAAACATGACACGATATGTTATCATCGCATATAAGAAAATTTGTAGTGAGTTTGAGCTTCCACGAACTAACTACCAACCGTAGTCGCCTAAATCACCGACTTTTTGGGTCGGACCCCCTTGCAAATAATCCGGTAGGTGTTTGGTAAAGTTACTTCAATTTGGAAATGATGAGAGTCACATCATGTGACTGACTGGGATTATCTTGTATTCAATAATGTAGAAATTGAATTGAGTTTATTTTATTTATTATGGAGACAATCATCAAACTCAGTCGTTTTCGTTTTAATTAATAGGGAGGACCAAAACACAGGTAATTCCAGATAGACAAGTCTTTGGTAGGCCCAACCCAACATTACCTCTGTCTTTGATAAGGTTGAAGGAATCAAATTTGGGATCTATCCATCATTTCACCTCACCCCATGTCATAACTTGAGTTGAAATTCACAAACTAAACACATCACGCTCACGGGTTGGGTAGCTTAGAGGTTTTGGAAGCCAAGTTGGGCAACAAATATCAAATCAAAACCTATTACAAATGGCTCTTTAACGTGTTGGCTCGGTTTGAATTGGATTTAAATTGAATCTCACATCCGTAAATGAGAATTGTAAAACACTATATGTTAGACTTTTGTCTAATTTAATAATTTCAATCTCAATACGCATTCAATTTAATTAAAATAATTCAGTCTAATCTGAGACACCGAGCGAAGCCAAAATTTAGAAAAATCACAAGGCAAGAGGTTACCTTACCTTGACCTCATTGAACTCTTGCAAGTTGGCATTTAATTTGACGCCCCAATGGCCCAAAACAAATAGTCAAATAAACGGTGGTCAAAGCAGAAACAGAGAGAAAAAGGAGACAAATACCTTTCCCAAGGCCAAAGCATTGTTTGTTTTATTTTCTGTGTTAAGTCACTTTGTTTTCAGAACCCACTTTCCACCACCATACATGGCATGGTTTCGACCTAGAAAATTAAACAAAACACATTCATTTGTTTCATAAGATGAGATGAGATGAGATGAGATGAGATGAGAGACAATCTCGTCCTAGGGATTACTTGACTTTAGAATTACGTTAAGGAAGTGTCAGGTTTTGGTGCACAGAAATATGCACAAGGGAAGGAGGAAGAGAAGGGTTCACTTGGAAGTGGGTTTTCTTTTGAGAATTGAGAGATCCAAGGAACGGGAAATAGGGCATTGTTTAAGGGACAAATACGTCATCAACATTCAATGAGTATTGGCTAAAACTTGTCTCCATGTCCTTGCTCTCTCTTTATAATATTCCACCTCCTCCCCCCTCCCATTAGGGTTTGTTGCCCCTTGCCACTACTTCACCATGTTCTTTTCTCATATGTCCCACTTCAATTCCACTGCGGAATGAAGGACAGCCGCTCACACGCGTGCAGTAGCTTTTAGTTGTAGAGCTGTATTGACAACTGCATTAAGGGTTGAGAGTCGCTGACACATGCATAAATGATTGTTACTCAGAAAACTTTAAAGTTATTGATTTTCCCTATGAACTCCGTCCATGTTCTTTTCCGTATAAGTAAGGATTGTAACGAATAATAAAAAAAAAATCCTTTGTAAGTACTTAGTACTTTTCTTATGAACTTATTTTCGTATTTTCAAATCATTTTTGAGAGATTCACTATTATACCCAATATAGGAGCCAAATTTATAAATAAATAAAAAAATCCTACATGAAATGGACTTTCGAAACACACCCAAAGCCCATTTACAACATAATAAAGAGGTTTCGAATTTCGTATAAATTACAAAACTGCCATCAATTTCTTAAAACAAGCTCAACCACAAAACCTCATAAAAAAACCCAAAACACTCAATAAGGTATCAAAGTAATTTAATAATCAAAATTAAATTTAATAGGGTTAGCTGTCACTTTTTGGGTTTTTTGTGTGTTTATTTATAAAAATGAAATGGTGTAGGATTTATCTATATCACTAATGTTAAGAATGGATATATAACTAAATATCTCATCAATTTTTTTTATATTTTATTTTATAAATTAGGAAGCTTCTCATGAGTGAATAATATAAATGAAATGAAGTGGGATTCGCACCACGATAACAAAGCATCCCACATTTATACGTATATAAGTAGAAAGAAGTATTCAATATTCCACCACTGACAAACAAAACTTGCTATTGCTAGTGTTGTTTTCATTCAAGAGATCAATCAATTTGGGTTTGAAATTCATGGTATCTATTTTATGTCCATGAGTGGGGGCTACTGCAGGTTTGGTGTTGCCTCATGAGAAAAACCCTACGCTTGCAACACATTCTCAATTAAAAATGCACCATGCGGGAATTATTTTTTCTTTGTTCCTTGCTTGCTTTGACAAATTGTTATCTTGCCCATTTTTTTCTGTATTTATTTCTCAATTATTTCGACGCTTATCTAAAGTTATATTCTTTTATAATTATCCGAGTCTTAGGATAGACCGAGTTCATTGTCGTCATTGATGTGAGAGGAAACTGCTCTATCACTCTAATTAAATCCTTATAAATGAATTATCTTTTCAAAACATGGACGTGAGTGAATATTGATAAGTCCATTATTTTTTGAAGAACCTAAGAAGAAGAAAAAAAAGATTTAGAGGATTTTCTAATTTTATGATAATATAAATTGTCTTGTCGCAGTTGATTTTAGATTTACCAGCTGAGTTAAAATTTAATTTACAGAAGAAGAAGCCATCCGCAGGGCTCAGGAAGAGAGTCAGAAATGAATTGAATATGGATGATGGAGGCTTATGGTACAAGTTATGGGCCCGCCATCACCTGAATTTTTTGTTGTCCTCCTCTCTCTCTCCTCCGCTCCCTTCTCCTTCTGGAGTTTCTGGGCGTTGTTTGTCTTGGTCATGTCCGTGTCGTACTCTTTCAAGTTAACGCCAAAGTCTCTTCCAAAAACGACAGAGATTCTGATGACGTGGCATACTAACCACGCCCCCGTGCTACTGTGGTCCCCACAATCTCTGCCCACTATGCCCTGCGTTGTGACAGCGACGTGTCGTCTACATTTGGCATGTTGTTATGTTACCATTTGGGAATTGATGCCTTTTGCCTTTGGGCTAATATTTGGAGTGAGCCCAATTTCAAAATGTATCCACACTGAAAATAATTTAATTTTTATATATATATATAAATCGAAAATATATACACATATTAATAATTTTATTTTCCTCTTTTTGATAAATTCAGTCCATTTTAATAATTGTTGCAATAAGGCAGAAAAATAATTATAAATAAAAAATATGTACATAAAAAAAGAGTAAGTACAAATACTAATGCTTGATAGTTCAAATGGTTTAAAGGCCCAAACTATGAGGAGCTGCCAACTCTTTTACAGAACATACAAGGAAAGCTCCACTATTTGACACAAAGGCCTGCCAAATTTGGTCTAAATACTTCGATATGATTTGGATTTGGACATGCAGCATGAAGGGCAAGGCAACAATACGAGGAGAAATTCTTAGGTGTACCCACTGGTAAAGAAAATAAGTATAGCCACGCGGTGATATATATATATATATATAATTTTAAAAAAACCCTAGGGTAGTTGTGCGGCTATATTATTTTGTAAAATATGTGAGAGTATAGATGCTGCTATACTATTTATAGGAAAAAAAAAAAAAGGTACCGCCTAGCGCTTAGGTGCCCAGGTGTCAAAACTCGTATAGCCGCGCAGCTATACTATTTTTTTAAAACAATTACTGTAGTAAAGCCTTTCGGCTATACTAGTTTTTCCGGGTATAGCCTTGCGGCTATATTATTTAGTATTTAAAAAGTGGGACCCAAGTGTCAAAAACAGTACAGCCGATCGGTCAGACAAATTTTTTAAAAAACAAATATCGTAGTATAGCCGCTTGGCTATACCATTTACCAAAAAAAAAAAAGGAAAAAAAAAGAAAAGGTATCCTCCTAGTTACATTAGTTTATACTTCATTTATATTAATTGGCTAGTTTCAACATATTCAAAGTAGATATTGAAGAGAGAAATTTCATAGTAAAACAATTATTTTAGATTTTTTTTTTTTGAATGTTTGCCTTTGATCTAACTCGTTTTCTCAAGTGAAACTTGTTGGAGAAGCAACAATCAATATTATTCTAATAATTTAATTAAACAATTAAATTAAACAATAAATAAAATAATAAAATTAAATATGGCTATAAATTAAAAACTGACTGTACTTGCAAATAAAGGCTTGTAGAAGTGCAATGTCCTTGAAACAGAATTTCACCATTATTCAATGCTTGTAGTTCTGCAAACATTTGCTCTACCATGATATAACTTTCAAAATCAAAATCTTGGCATTAGGGCTTTGATTTTTGGCCAAATTTGTGTGTTTATCACTGAAGCTATACAAGAATGATGATATGAATGTTCTCGGCGAATTTGATGTAATTGTAGAGACCCAAAACTTGTGTTTAAATAGAGTGGCTGATACATGTTCCAACTAGTATCAGATCATGACAAACTCAATCAAACAAAAACATTATATGATATTTGAATTTTAAAAATAATTCTAATAAATAAATAAATAAATAACTAATTATGTTTAATTTAAATCACACAGCACAAAATGTATACATAAAACGGATGGATTATTGAAAAATATGTACGTATGTGTATAATACGAGTACTAAAAATGAAAATGCTAAATTCTTTATATGGGTAATAACTCTGGCAAAGTAAAAAATAATCAAAAGGGACAATAGAGACTCAAGTAATGGCCTAATAGTAATGGATAATGCTCTAGACTACCTTTATCAAATAAAGAAAATTGGGGAGAATTTTTTTTTTAAAAAAATCCCATTATATGGCTATACTGTTTATTAAAAAAATTATAATTAAACAAAGAGTAAAGCAGCGCGGCTAGACTATTTTGGAAAGGAAAAAAAACCCCAAATATGGCCCGGCGGCTATAATATTTAGAAACAAGGGGTTAATAGCACCCAGGTAGCCGTGTGTGAAACCGAGTATAGCCGTTCAGCTATTACGTTTTAAAATAAACATCTCCAGTATAGCCGGATTTATAGGGGGAAAAAATCCGCCTAGCGCTTAAGTGGCCACTTCTCAAAACCAGTATAGCCGCCCGGCTATACTACTGTAAGTAACGTTTTGAAAAATGCCCGAGATTACGGCCGCGCGGCTATACTATTTAGCATATTTATGCACACACATATAGTGGGACCCTTTCGTGTAAAAACAGTATAACCGCCCGTCTATACTACTTTTATTTTTTATATAAAAGAAATATCATAGTATAGCCGGAAAACTTCTATGAAACAAAAATAGCACTATTTTACTATTCCTGGCCAATAACACTATGACAAGCATGCACATGACGGCATTCGGAATAACAAAATAGTGCTATCCTCATGCTACTAAGATTTTCTCCATTTAGCGATGCTTATGTCTTTTTAATTGGACTCAGACACAGGAGAAAACTAGGATTAGAGGAGCACACGGCTATTAAGCTTGGGGCAACTGTCCTTTGGCAGACCTCGACCAAAAGTTGCATAGCATTTAAATTCTCAAATTCAGTGGAAGCAGAAACATAATAAATCTCTTAACCTGATTTAAATCAAGTATATAGCCACATACAAAGACACATTATATATGTAAGTAATGATTCTACATATCACAGCAGCAGCAGATCATTTTTACGATTGCCAAGGAAATTCAATTCATCCAACACAATTACATAAATGTATGCAGTTAACACTCAGATAT